TTTATATAATAAGTTCATTACTTTAATATTTTATTTGGATGATTGCGGTGAGAATAAAGAACTTTTCAGGTAATTTAACATGAGTACTTCATTTGGATATTCATTTTTGTAAAAGAAGAGACATCTCAACTTATAAGCTCAAAATCGAAAATCCAAAATATCCAAACCGATTAATCCGAAATCGAACTTAAAAAATCCAATCCAATCCGAACTTATTTGGATTGGATTTGGATTGTCATTTCGTCAATCCGAAAACTGAAAATCCGAACCAAAATTTCATATGCAATCCGAACTGCCCGAACGCTCACCCCTAGTTGACTTTGGTGATGTTAGAGTCTCAATTTACAAAAATCTTATATAAGTACTTACATATCATATTTAATGGACTGAAATTATACTAAATTCTTCATTTCTTCTCTAACTAGGGAATTCTAGAATATTGACTATTTTTGTTGGTATTGTGCTAAATCTATATCTATATCTATACTATATTAAAAGCACGAAGGCCCTTAGCGGAATGTTGTTCGCCTTTTTTACTCTTTAAGATTAGATTTTACATTAGACAAAATAGTAATTTAATTATTTTGCTAATATTTAAGAATTCTAAATCAACTTAATTTTGTGCATTATTTCCCTAATATTTAGGAGTTCCAAATCAACTAAAATTTTATATACTAAATATTCCTTGTTTGAACTTCTATGTGACGAGGCCTAAAGTACTAAATTTAATATACTAAAATTTTATATACTAAATATTCCTTGTATGCTATAAGCATGAAAAAAACTAAACAAAACATTTCTTGTTTTAGAAAAAGAAAATTTACGGCTTAGAATAGGTATTAGGTTGTTGTTGGCCAATGTAAAGTATCATTTTTATGTCCTAATTTTAGTATAAAAATATTCAAAGTACTTTCAAATAATCTTTTCTCTCTATATTTATTTTTACCAAGGTAAGAAAAAAGAGCTCAAACAATTAATATTCTTTAATTACAATTAGTGCAAAAAAAATTTAAGCAAATTTGTAATTATAGATAATATTNAAATTCTAATTACAATTAAATTCTAGCTTTCTAGATATTCTTTTTGTATAATCTTTGAAAAGTACACTGATCAATAATAAGATAAATTGCTAAAAAGATATACTTCTATGTGACGAAGCCTAACGTACTAAATTTAATATACTAAATATCCCTTGTATGCTATATATAAGTATGAAAAAAGCCAAACAAAACATTTCCTTTTTTAGAAAAAGAAAACTTACAGCTTAGAATAGGTAGTAGGTTGTTGTTGGCCAATGAAAAGTATCATTTTTATGTCCTAATTTTAGTATAAAAATATTCAAAGTACTTTCAAATAATCTTTTCTCTCTATATTTATTTTTACCAAGGTAAGTAAAAAGAGCTCAAACAATTAATATTCTTTAATTAAAATTAGTGCAAAAAAATTTAAGCAGATTGGTAATTATAGATAATATTTTAGAATATTATTTTATGTATGTTTCATTATGACTAAGCATGAAAACCTAATCAAAATTAACGGTATAAATCTAGAGAAGTAAATGAATTTGATTGGATTTTATTTTCTAATTTCTCATGTTATTCAATGAGAATACACGTTATACTTACTTTTGAAATTCTAATTACAATTAAATTCTAGCTTTCTAGATATTCTTTTTGTATAATCTTTGAAAAGTACACTGATCGATAATAAGATAAATTGCTAAAAAGATATTTAATAATATAAAAGATCTATCAACTCATAAATTTAAAAGTGCAATATTAGAGTAATTTTACTCTTCAACAATGCAAAATTTTATTGGATAAAATTAATAATTGCAATTAAATATTAAAACTCTGAATAAGCTAATATGAAGAACTTGAATGAATAAAAAACAATGTTAAAAACAAATAATTAAATGAATTACTAATTATCGAAAGAATTCAATTTAATTTTTTTTTAATTCATCATATAAGTAAATTAGTTTTCAAGTTAACAAAAAACTTAGGATACATAAACTTATCTCCATAAAAAGAGTATTAGCAGTGAAAAAAATGAACAAATTAGTTAAAGTTGGAAATCAAATTAATAAAAATACAAACTTAAAATAATTAGAATTAAACAATGAAAGAAAAAATATATTCTAAATAAGTTGTCATAAATTATTATTATTATTATTATTCCAAAATGGCAACTTTTACAGTTTCTATATATTATGTTAATTGATGTAAAATAGTAACTCAACATCAGTTATTTTTAGTTTTTATATTGTCACTTAATAGTTTTTTCTATGAGCTATAAAACCAACCTCATCATTTCTAAAGACCAAAAGATTCAATTTTTCAAATTATTTTAGTTATCTTCATTAATAAAAGTATTTTATGTTATTTGTTTGTTTTCAGTATTAGGCTATAGAAATGACAGTAATTTTCGTAAGATATTACCATATAAATTCTTAGAAATCACAATAAGGTATATGAGGATTTCTATTGGCAAGATTCCTTCCTTTATTGAGCTAACAAAATGGGATCACCAGTCATCATTTTCAAGAACTTGCATTTTTCTTTAATTATAATTTTATAAGTCAAACTATTACTTAATAATATTTATATTAATTTTTTAAATTATATATTCAATGATATAGACACACGCGCAAAGCGCGTACCCTAAGACTAGTAATTTAAAAGGCAGTAAATACCGGAAATTGATAATGTACATTTTTTGGCATACAACAAAATTTTGGTAATAAATGTGAATATTACCATACCAACCCAAATGCTTTACATCCTAAGAGCATCAAGTGTACTAGCTCTTCTAGTACATCAAGACCTCAAGAAAAAATAACTCTTCTAAGTACAAAAATCCAATGATTTTAGAAAAAAGAAATAAAAAACCAATCAACAGAATTCAACCTAACTACATAGTCTTTGTATCATTAGTGGACATTGTTTAGCTCTTTTAGACTCTGCATACATATTCATTCTGTCCACAAGCTCCTTTTTAATTTGCCCAACACAGAACTCCAAGTTCAGGTTAATTTGTCTAAAAATTCTCCAGTTCCTCGCTTGCCAAGTATGGTATACAATTGCTCCTATGATTGCTGTTGCAACTTCCTTCCTTAATTGCTTCCAATGCCTCCTTTTAATCCATTGTATCATCTCTGGTATTGCCATATCTGGTAGTCTGATTGCTGCCCAACTTGTCAGAGCATCTCTCATATTTACCCAACAATAGTCCCCAAACAGATGATGCTGTATCTCCATCACTCCCAGATTACACATGCAACACTCAGCATCACCTGTGATAGGAATATGCAGTTGTAATAGTCTTCCCTTTGTTTGCATTTTTTGTTGATATGCCAGCCACAAAACAAATCTATGTCTCGGTAACATCACCCTGCTCCATATCAAATCTATTTTCCTGCACCTTGACATATGCCCTAACATTACATTAACTGCTAGATACAGAATAATCTCCGGTGCTCGTCAACCTATATGTGACTTATGATAATAATGTTGCATTAGAAGTCATGTCTTGCGGAGCTCATGGGACTTTTAAAATTTTGTTGCTTAAATCCAGAATTAGTGTACATTCTATAATGTTTTCCTTTGCAGCTTAATTGTTATAGGGGGCGATCTCCTATTGTTTGCTTAAGTAACTGCATATTTTCTAATTCTAAATTAAATTGATATACATGTCAGTATTTTTCTTTGTTACTTTTTTCCCAAAAAATTGAATGATATATTTTAACATAAACGAACGTACACACATAGTATCATAAAGACAGAAAATAAAGGAATTCACTGATACCAAGTACAAGGTCATGAAAAAAGTACTGAAGATGACCGATCTTAGATGTGTGTAATATAATCTAATGAATTTATGAATGTTTATGGTTGGATTCATATTATTGGTTCAGAAAAAAAAAATTAAAATGAGTCATGATATTCTTGTGGCAATTGGAACATAAGAATGTTGATTAAGAAGGGAGGTGAGATGCATCGGAAAATCTTTTCCTATTTCATAGGAAAAAGAGTTATTAGTTTTTTATCAATGTTGTTTTACCTGCAATATACTGTTTATTATATATTTTTACAAAATAAAATCAAAATAAGTTAAAAAAATTATATGTATCTAATCAAACATTAGTTGTTCACTTCTGAGTTCAAATTTTAGCCAATCATCTTTAAAAACCAATCGAGAATCAAATAAAAATTAGAAATATCGTCTATAAAAAAGTATTAGATCAAATACACTTCATTACATGTTTGTAACAAACAAAATCAAAGTAATAAAAACTCAAATACATCTAATTAAATTTTGATTATTCATTTTTGTAGGTCCATATGTTGTCTAATTACTTTTACTTTTGATAAAAATGTTACAATACGAGGAGCTACATTGATCATTCACAGGGCATCCATACATGTGCAACGTATCACAAACAAGTTACATAAATTGTGTACTACATCATTCGGCAGGTATACACATGTGCGAGAAACTAGAGAATATATATATATATATATATATATATATATATATATATATATATATATATATATATATATATATATATACAACGCAGCACAAACAAGTTACATAATCATGTACTACATCATTCGGCAGGTATACACGTGGGCCAAAAACTAGAATATATATACCCATTTAGCTGCCCTATAATAATACATCAAGGTAAATCTTAGCTTTGTACCCATTTTTGAAAAAAATATGCTTGATCTTTGCTGGAGAGGTAATATTTAATATTGACATTATAAAGGAATCATTTTTTAGGGTGCGACTTATTGTATATTCGATATATATCATCAAATTGCATATGATGTTGTGGTTGTATGATTGCTTCTGCATATGTCCAACAGATTTGTGAAGCGCTTGATTTTGAAAACATATTGGCATTATTTTGACAATATATGTTGGTAACTACATGTATATTCATCGAAACATCAACCACAAGCACTTGGCAATTAGTTTTGACACATCAGAAATGAAAGTAAGTCGAGAACAAATCAAAATTGTAGAGCATAACAATAATCCTCACACACATTCAACAACCAAACAATAACTAAATGCAGGTACGCGATAGCAGCATTGAAACCAAAGAGCCTTGTGAGTAGTGCAGAACCAAATCTAAGTTCTCATCTGTTCCCACACAACTCTATGAAGCCAAATTGTTTATTCTGATAATAGCTATAGGTTGTCTTTTATATAGATTGACAGCCTAACCACCTAGCACAAGTTTGATGCACGCTCGAGCCAGGTAATTCATCTCCCCCTCTCAGGTCACCTGTTTCCTACCCAGAAAATGGAAGGTAAGAAAAGTGAAGATTAACCAGAGGGTTAATTATTCGTTCGCCATCTGTCTAAGCTTTAGTGTGCAGAGTTACCAAATACATGTCCTGGAGGCAAGTACCCGCTGGAATAGTCCAGGTGCACTCAAACTGGCCCCGAGACCATCGTTATAAACAAAACACTGAATTAACGAATGGAAAAGAAAAAGAGAAGACAAACAAAATCCTTCCTTCCCTTCTCACACTACCAAGACAGTCTTTACTGAAGTATGAATCCAATAAAAAGAAGACACACAAGAAGCCTAGATAACAAGAGTACATGCTTCAGTAAGCATACTTGGTTTCTGCCAACTTGGAACACCCAGAGTTGAAGAATCAATGCTTCTCAGTTCTGTCTAAAGTGATTCCTGTAGTAAATCAGCAATCAAAGATCCGCAGATTTGTCGCTCAGCTCCACTCGTTCATCAATTTTTTTACAGATGTATATAAAATGAGCATCCGGATCTTCCATCACATAATCTGCCGGAAGTAGGCCCTTCTCGGTTAGGGGAATAGGTTCCAAGTATGACTTTACATTAGAACAGGAATCACCAGGCTTTTGAATTCCTGGTCTAGCTGCAAAATGGTAGAAAATGGAAATAAGTAACAAGACTGGACTGAGATCATTAATTAAGACACTAATCACTTCCTAAAGGTTAAAAATCAAGAATTTTGGTAATGAAGCATTAAACCATATTAATTCATTCGACAGAAGAGCTTCAGATTTCACTAGGAGAACAGATAACTCAATTATGGTTTTTAAAATTTCAAAAGAAGAATTTTTCACAAATAATTTGATATTAAAACTGAACCTTCTTTTGCATATAGAATGCGAAATCAATTTTTTCTCTTGTGATCATACATAAAACACAACTTCACATGCAATTCTCTTCAACTTTAATCTTCTCTACTTTATTGGCAAGTCCAAAAAGTAACAGTTGTGTCTATCCTTGATCAGAATCCCTACATGTCTGTAAATGCTCTTCCGGTGTCCCAAAGCTTGTGTGAATGAGGCAGCTGAGGCCCCATTATTTAAGCAGAGCTAGCACAATATTGTATGGCAAAAGCTTTTTGTTTTTTTATAAAGGTTATGGCAAAAGAATCTTGAAAAAGATTAATAATCATTCTCTTTTTGCATGGAAGGATTGGGAGTATACAGTAGGAAGAATCCAGAATATTCATTCTCGATAAAAGGTTAATTATATATTGTGTTGGGTCTTATATATTGGGGTGCACATGGTTGGATCCCTTAAGAGGCTGCAACTAATAGACTTTTATTAGTTATCTCAACAGCATAATTCTCAGTAATCCAGAGTGATGCACAAGATGTTCAGATGCATAAATAGAATGCCTCTTTGAACTGTTGTCATTGCAGTAGACCCAATGTGACTGCAGCAGAAGCCCTGAAACCATGCTTTTTAGTCCTTTGAGTTTGTCTCTAGGGTATAAATTTGATGGGTCTGACTCATTCTAAGGTATTTGGAGGCAAAAACTCAAGAAAACTCATTGGAGAGACTAACTAGAAGAGATCTAACCATTCCCAAAGATTTCTATCTAGTCAATGTAAAACCCAACCCTAATTTATGGTATATTTGGTTACTTCAAGGGAATTCAATAGATTCATGTCTATTACTCAAGAATGGACTTAAGTACAATGTGGACTGATATGTCAGGGTTAAAAACATGACATAGGTTCTAAAATCATTATATAGAAATAAGTGGTGAATCAAGGTTAAGCAAGCCAAGGACCTAAGGCAAGTGACGAATTTAACTACAGCTTAGTTTTCCATAAACAGCATGATTCGAGATGAATGATGAGATTTCAAAGTATTACGATCGCCTTAAGAAGGACTTAGTTGAATTGCATTGACAGGACAAGCATGTAGTGTGTTTATATACACATATGTGTGTGTGTGTTGTGTATATATATATATATAGAGAGAGAGAGAATATATATATATGCTTGAAATTATTGAGTATCGATGATAAATTTGAATTGCATTTTAAGCTATAATGAATATATGTATCTTCCTTTGATTTGAAAATATTTCTAATTGTTCATTGCAAGTTTAAAAGCATGTTTTGACTCGTGATGCATACATGTATGCATGAAACAAGTGATACTTTGTATAAGCAACAAGTATGATACGAACGATATGAGAAAGGCTTTGGCAGGACGCCAAGGGATATAGAGATGGCGCCGGCCATACATAGAAAAACATTACCTTATTGACACAGCTTTTTGGAGGGGAATTGTGACGTATACGATACCAGTACGAGAGTTTCTACCCTCACTAAAGGGGTGAGGTAGCCTATAGATAGAAGTATAGCCCCTTAGTCACAAGAGAAACTATAATACCGTTTTGAGATAGAGAGAGAAAAGAATAGTTTCAGCTAACAGTTTTTGAGACATGAGCTTAACTTATCCTTTTGACTGAAATGTATTTTCAGAAAGATATAATTGTAGTACTACGTGTCCTTATACTTAAATTTGACGGATTGCATGTTTTGGAACCAGGGGCGGATCTACATGTATAATTTTGGTGCTTAAGCACCCATTAACCTTAACTTAGAGTAGGTATAATTCCATAGGAAACTTAACGAAACAGATGTAAAAGGCCGTAAAGCACCCAGGAAACAGGAACGTCGATGGCTGTTTTGGTTAAGGAAGGGTGCTGGAAGTTTAATGCTGGTGAGCGGCGAGAGTTCGAAACTCAATGCTAGCGCAGTACTTTTTTAACCAGGCAAAGTGGCAAACTATTTTCTTTTCTATTCAGGGCTACTTTCTTTCTTCTTTTTTTAAAAAAAAATATTTCCCTCAATTAGGTCTTCATTTTTAACCAAGCACACTTTCTTTACCCAATACTACTTTTTTTTTGTACTTTCTTTTTTAGCTGACCTTTGTTTTTAGCCTTTTACTTTTAAACTTTGCCTAATTCTCTATAACAAAAAAATCTTTTTAAGGAAAGATCCCAAAGTTCGACCCCATTTAAAGATGAACAGTTACTCCAGAAAGGTAAAACCCATCAAACCTTTCTTTTTGTGGGGGGGGGGGGGGGGAAGCTAATTACATTCTCATAACAGATTCACGGTGTCCATAATATTAAAATATGAATTTACAACATAACTTTTTTCGCCGTCGTGGTCAAATAGTTGTGTACTTATATAATGTGTAGTAACTTTACCTCAGAAAAACTTAAGCACCTACGAACCCAAAATCTTAGATCCGCCACTGTTTGGAAATTGTAGCTTGTCAATAAAAATAATGGATATGGTTATCACTTGTTGAGTCAGTGGATTCATTCCTTACTTCTCATGTTTCAAATTCAGTAGCAGCTGACTAGTAACTGTAGTAAGCCCCAAATATTTACTTTGTGGAAGCTGTAAGTCCATTCCTTCCCTTCAGTTGTTTAGAACAGTTTATTCCGTTTCAGATATTCTAGAGGTGCTCTATGCAGTCCTTGACAAGATCGAGGATTGTAGTTATGTTTTGAGACTTGTAATAGCTTGCCGATGGTTTGTTATGTTTTAATTAAAGACTAACAATTGCATGTGCATGATAGACTGGTTGATGGATGTCCTGAGTTTAGCTAAAGATGAGTTTGTTTGCTTGGAGGGAACTAAACCCACTAAGTACCTTTCACGGCCTCCAGTTTTGTTTGTGACATTTATCTACCCAATACAAGCCAGATTTGTGACTTACAGGTCCTTTCTGAACTATTACAACCCACTTAAATCAATCTTTTGCAGCTCAACACACTTTACTACATATTCTACATGTTAATGTGCTTGAATTCCATCTACAAGAGGGGATTCTATAAGGAAAAGAATTAATCTCCCTTTTTCTTTCTTGAATGATATCAGCTGAGAAGATTTATAGCTATGAAGAATGAGGGTGACCAGAAGAACTAAATGGAGATTCACCCACGCCCAAGGCAATATGCAAATATCAAACACCAGCGTTTGGATGTGAATTACTGGCCTACATGCAATTTTAACTCCCTTAAAATTGTGCAAGTTTTTTTGTAGTCTGTATAGTTCCAGCCTTGCTAACAGAGTAACTGAACATAATAGGGAATATTAGACTTCAAGCATTCCTCCCCTATCCATAAGTCTGTCCAGAACTTGATTCTCTGTCCACTTCCAGCTTCTAGTTTAGTATATTGTTAAAATTCTTCCCATAAATTACTGATACTCTTCTTCCATATGCCCCCTGTTGCATTCAAATACAAAGAGCGAGATCTCCACCCTCCATTATTACCATAAATAGCATTGATCAACTTCTTGCAAACTGCATCACCTTTTAACATATATCTCCACAGGCAGTTGAAGAGTACACTCTTATTATGTTCAGTTACTCTTTTAACAAGGCTGGAACTATTGCTGATTTTTCCTCAGACTCAGGATGGCAGATTGTACTCACGAGAAAATTGAAGGACTGGAAGTAGAAGACTACTGTCACTTCAGCAGTTAGAATCAGTCTCAATTGACCATAGCAAGGCGGATTCACTGATCTGGACAGTTGGTGATAATAAAAAGTTTTCAGTTAGCAGCTGTTACACTATGTTGATCAGGACGTCAAATCCTAGAGCTGTCAATTGGCCATGGAGGGATGATTTGGAAGACAAAAGCTCAAGAAAAAAGCTCCAACAAAGGTAGCATGCTTCGGTTGGATAGCAGCTTGGGAGGCATGATTGACACAAGATAACTTGCAGAGAAGGGGCTTCAAGCTATGTAAAAGATGTTATCTATGTGAAGGAGATCAGGAAATATTGAATCATCTTTTTCCCCATTGCAGAATTTCTCGACAATGCTGGGAAGTATTCTTAAATATCTGTGACACTGCCTGCTTGAAGAATGGCAATCCCAGAGCAGAGAGTACCTAAAAGGTTGAAGCAGATATGGAGAACTATTCCTCTGTGCATCTTATGGACCTTACGGCTGGAAAGGAATAAGGCTTGTTTTGAAGAACACAGGAAGCACATCTCTAGAATTAAGAATAAATGTAGTCATAATCTGTATTATTGGTGTGGTAGCTTATTAGTGAATCTGTCTCAGTTTATGAATTTTCTGGATTTGTTAGGAGGGCTGTATGGATGATTACTGTTTCTGCTATGCTCTTTCTACCTTTTTGTACCACCTTGGTATAGAATTTACCTTATCAAAAAGAAACAGGAAAACAAAAGGTATTCTTTAAACCATGTCATAGCGTCTGTATAGTAGTTTTTAGTCCAGCTCACACCTTTTAGAGGTACGACGTGATCTTTTGATTTTTATTTTTGTAGTCGAAGTGTAGCTGTTCACATTTTTTAGGGGTAGGACATGATTTTTTATTTTTATTTTTATAGATAAGGGATATAAGACATGATTTTATCTTAAGGGCAGACCTAGAACTTTTCTTAGGGGGTATGGTTGCTATTACACGCCTTAATAACAATTTTGTGATGTTTATAACACATTATTTAAGTATGCTACACTAAATAGTAAGTAGCTAGAAGAATATTGTACAATTTATATGAAAGTTACCCAACCAGAAACTCAAGGGGGGTTGGGAATTAAAGATCTAGAGCAGCACACAATAAAAGCATGATGTTGAAGTGGTTGTGGAGTTACAATATGGAGGATGCTGGGTTCTGGAAAGTTGTCATCAAAGCCAAGCATGGAGAGCTGAATCACTGGTGTTCAAAAGTCTCAAGTGCTCCATACGGAGTGGGATTATGGAAAGGCATCAGCAAATTATGGAGCACTTTTGCTCAGAACATCACTTTGAAGTTGGGAATGGTACATATATCAGATTCTGGAAGGATAAATGACTTGGAAACTCTACCCTTCAAGTTGAATTCCTAGACTTGTTCACCATAGCCCAAGATCCTTGCTGTTATTGCTACATACAGGGAAGGGGTCAATTGGGACTTAAAGTTCAAAAGGGACATGCATGATTGGGAAATAAACGAGCTGCTGGACCTCTATGCAAGACTACAACAAAGCAATGTTAACCCCCAGGCTGTGGACGCACTTAAATGGGGGAATCACGGTGGAGGCATCTACACAGTCAAGGTGGGATATCAACAGATGTGTTCTAGTAATCCCATGATAGACAACTGGCCCTGGAAACTTATTTGGAGAACCAAGCTGCCACCAAAGGTTATCTGTTACACCTGGACAGCATTATATGAGGCATGCCTCACACAAGATAACCTGATGAAAAGGAACTTCCAGTTACCTAACAGATGCTACATGTGTCAAAAGGAAGCTGAAAGTACCTGCCACTTGCTCCTACACTGTGAGGTGGCTTCAGACATATCGTACATGTTTTTTTGCCTTTTTGGTCTCAAATGGGTCACCCCTTACACAGTCAAGGATGCTTATAAGAGCTGGAGTTTATGGAGAGTTGATAAAGCCATCAGGAAAATCTGGTCAATGGTCCCTGCTTGTATTTTCTTGTGCATTTGGACAGGGAGAAACAAGAGATGTTTTGATGGAAACTCAACTCCTATAGATTGTTTAAAGGCTCTGTGTATTGCCAACTTGTTTTGCTGGTCTAAATTGTACCCTATCAACAATATTGATCATCTTTTGGGTTTCATTAGTTCTTTAGCTCTGGCTTAGCCAATTATGTATTGGAGCCGGAATATTTTTTGTAAGCTCAAATGCCAAATCATGTACTTCTTGCATCTTCTTGATGCCATCTAGAAATCACTTACTTTATCAAAAAATTATACTTATAAAAAAAATTGGTTGTTTTTTTTAAGGTCAGATTTTATTGATAAAGTACCAAGGTAGTACAGAACAGTACAGCACTCAATAACATAACATATACACTAAAAAATTGTATTTTAAAAGCTATTCAAAAGCTACTTCATCAAAAAAAAAAAAAAAAAAAAAGAGTTAAAATAAAAGGCAAATTTGTTCTTTTCAAGTAATTTAACCAAAAAGCATTCTTTACTCCCTCATTTCTTTTCTCAAATGTAGATTTCATTATTTTTAAATCTCACATATATTTACAATAACTTTTAATTTGCAGTATTAGACTTTCCAAACCTCAACCCACCCCCACCCCGACCCTCCACCACAAACAAAGAGAAAGAAATTAAACTATTTAGCTTAAATTTAAGCTAAACTATTTGGATCTTTCCAAATCCCACCCCCACCTTATACATGCCTATGTTCAAGTTTAAAATTTTAAAACTAGCATGCATGTATAAATTCACAAATAAAACTTTCTATTGACTTTAACATAGCCTAAAGATGAATTTCAGAAATCTCTTGCAAAGGATGCCACAAGTAAACCAAATATTTTTTTTTTTTTTTTGATGAAGTAAGTAAACCAAATAGTTTTATTTACTCAAGGATATTTCAATGATCAAATAGTAGCATAGTTTGGATGATTTGCAACGAAACTTACGTATAATGTATAACTCAATTTTCCAGTTAAATACTGGTCGACTCAAATGAGGCATCCTTGCTGTAGGATCACCATATGTTATCTGCAAAAGGCAGGTAACCAACAATTATTTGGTGTTTCAAAATTTACCATAAAAGTTACAACTAGGAATCCATTTAGGCCTCTAGTTACCAACATATAAACACCTCCATTTTTGAGAAGCCTACACATGAAAAGACAACAAAAGTAAGTTCTTACTCATCAAAAGAACTATAATCCTTAGGTATTTTGAGGCATCAGAGGAGGAAAGGAAGTGAACACAATGAATAACTACAAAGAAATACAATAAAACACCATAAACTTTCCAACCTGCTCACTTCTCCAAGCATTTGTCCAGCACACAATGGAGCATTGGCACCACACTGAAAAAGTGTAGAATCAGTTACCACATCTAACAAATTTGAAGAGGTCTGAGAAAGAGTAAGATGGAACTAACCATTAATGAGTCGAGGGTTCCTGTTACAGTAATGACCAAATGATCGCACAAAAGATCAGAAAGCAGAGAAGAAAAGATAGTCAGCGACTAGAAAATAGTTAACAAATGGCACATGAAAAAGGGAGATATAATTACCCTTATCAATGACAGCGTCAAATGATTCATCAGGAAAGAAGCTCATATCTCTGACATCCATTTGCATGTCTGTTCAGTTTCATAAGGAAAACTTTATACACCAGAATTCTAAATTGGTTTCTAAATCAGAATTGAGAGGTTCTTCAGCTAATATACATTTCAACTGCGGAACGTGCTCATACTTCCTTCTCATCATGTCAATAGCCACTGTTGATATATCGACATTCACTATTTCTTCATAACCATCCTTAACCATGTCCTCCGACATCACTGAACAAAAAAAGATCTTTTGATCTCAGTAAATGCATTAAATTCTTAATATTGAACAGCATATGCACAATACCAAAAAGCATGATTGTCATTGTTCAAACATGACTATTATAACATTTTACACTTTATAAAACACTTAGGCATCCAATAGAGAGCTTTGGCTCGGAGTAAATTGAAATAAATTCCTTCGAGCATTACATATTCTAGGTAGAAAACATAGCAAAACAATAAAATAAAAAAATGAAATCTTTAAGCTCGAATAAGCTAGAAAAAAGCATGATCCTCCATTTTCATTAACGCTCCTTCTGTATTGGAGGTGAAAAAGAACTACAAGTGGAATATTAGACTGCTGACATGGCATAACGCGTGGAAAACTAATATAGCGACACGTGGAAATCTTATTTGATAGAAAAAGAAAAAGCAGGGGAAGAAATACCCACGAGACGGTACCGGGCCTAACAGCTGGCAAGGAATGAATAAATTGTAAAAAGAAGGAAAGATACATGGACCAGAAGGAAATAAGGAAGCGGAATCGAAACAGATATAAGGCATTTATAGCAATAAATGTGTCAGTTATGAGAATCCAAAATAATGGGTAATCAATATCATTAATGCCCATAGTTAGCCCAAATTATGGGGGAAACTGTTACTATTGTATATTCCTATACAAGGGCACAGAATTCTATTTGTAAGGACACATTTGAGACAATATTGAAATATACACTTTACTTTTCTGCTTTCTCGATATTCTCTATCTTGACTTTGCAATCAATTATTTCTTTAGTTATTCTTGTTATTTTCCTTTGATACCGTTGAGAAAGTGAAGCAAAACTTGGTTATCAGAAACCCGTTTTCTTCTAAAATTAGACTTTGACCGAAAGATATATTTTCGGTTAAACAAATTGGTTCTGTTGCCGGGACTCTAATAATCTTTTCAATTTCCAAATTCACTTTTCTGTCAAACAATCATGCCAACTGCCAACAACAACAACCAACAACAACAACCAACAGGAGGGAGGAACTCCAATCCCTTCACCTCAAAATTCTCCTTGACAGTCCCAGGAGGGGACACCTTAAAGATCAATATCACACACGAATGATCAACAAGGGGACGAGCAAACTGCCGAGGACGCATTAAAACAACTAATTGCGGAACACGTCAACAATGCTCTTCAACCTTTTGTCAGTGGATTGCCAACTGCGCCACCAACTCCTCCTCCAAACAATAGCGCAACTATAGAAAACCCACGCTTGGGACTTGCTAATTCAGGAAGCGGAGGAACTGCAAGAACAAACAATTTTTATCGGAAACATTCCTCTAATGAATTTCCTGGGAACTTCTATTGTCAATGGAATATATAGAATTGTGATCAATCAAATATTGCAAAGTCCACTCCTAGTGAATCTCGTGATGGAAGGTCAAGTACACCAAATAATCTCCCTCCATTCCAATTTATGTGAACCTGTTTGACTGGGCATGGAGTTTAAGAAAAAATGACGACTTTTGAAATTTGTGGTCCTAAACAAGTCAAAAAGGGGCCCAGAGTATTTGTGTGGTTATAAAAGCTTCTCATTAAGGGTAAATTGTAAGTTTAAGCTAAATTATTTCAAAATTTAGAAAGGACTCATTCTTTTTTGAACAGACCAAAAAGGAAATAGGTTCACATAAACTGGAACAGAGGTAGTACTAACTTTGTAGAAGCAGCTCAAGGAGCAGAATGATCGCATAGAACAAATACCTGGTGTGCTACCCGTGATTAAAGGAGTGGATATTGACAACTATTCACAATAGCCCTGGAAGCCAAGTGCAGCTCCCTTGCCAATTCCAAAGAAGTTTAAAATGCCCGATATTCCAAAGTATGATGGAACAACCGACCCACGAGATCATGTAACTGCGTTTACAACTGGCGTGAAAGGCAACGATTTAACCAAGCAAGAAATTGAGTCAGTGCTGGTCAAAAAATTTGGCGAAACACTTACGAAAGGAGCACTAACATGGTATTCTCTTTTACCAGAAAATTCTATTGATTTTTTTACTCAGCTTGCAGATTCATTTATAAAAGCACATTCGGAAGCTCAAAAAGTTGAGAAGAGGATGGAAGACAGTTTCAAAATAAAACAAGGAGATACGGAGCTACTCAGGGAATTTGTGGATAGATTTCACGTGAAAGAATGATGTTACCGCGGGTACCTGATAATTGGGCGGCCATGGCGTTTGCAAGTAACTTAAATGAAAAAAGCTTAGAAGCCACGAGGAGACTCAAGGAAAGCTTAATTCTCGCTACAACTTGGAATGATGTTTACAACAGGTACAGTACGAAGCTGCGGATAGAAGAAGACACTATCACTCGGTCGCGGGGTGATGAAAGAACAAGTTCGAGGCGACCAGAAACCGAAAAAATGTCCGGTAAGAACAGGTATGAACCTTACATGGACCAGCAGGACGGGATTCACGTTCTAAACAAGAAAATCCAAGGTATGGTTCTAGATTGAGGGATAGAGATGCGGGTTCATCATCCAAGTTCGGGAAAGAGCGAGATGCGCGGGACAACAATGTTAATACAAAGGCAAAGATTGGTGATTACAGTTTCAATATTAGCACTTCTGAGTTGGTAGCTATTTTAAGAAGTATGGGAGATAAGGTGCGGTGGCCAAAAGCAACGAGATCGAACCCTAGCAGAAGAAATCCAGATTTTTGGTGCGAGTTCCATAACGACCACGGTCATAAAACAACATACTGCAGATTGCTACAAGGTGAAATAGAGCATTTGTTAAAACACGGTTATTTAACTGACTTGTTCAGTGAGAAGGGTAAGCAAACGTATATGAAGAATAGACAAGAGTCTCCAAAACCTCCATCACCAAAAAGGACAGTTAATGTGATAAGCGGAGGTGAGGAGGTCAACGGTGTGACATACACGGCTGCAAAAAAGACATCAAAAATCACGGTTACCCACGGAAAGCGAGTTCGCCAAGTTTTGGAAGAAGACAGTATAACGTTTGACGATGCAGATGCAGATGGCGTGATGATCCCTCACAACGATGCACTGGTAATATCTTTACTTGTACATGACACTAATGTGAAACGAGTTTTGATCGATCCAGGTAGCTCCGTAAATATCATTCTTCTGAGGGTGGTAAACGAGATGCAAGCTGATGACAAAATGGTGCCCAAAGCACGTACCTTATCTGGATTCGACAATTCAAGCGTTGTTACAAAAGGGAAAATAGTGCTTACCACATTTGCAGAAGGAGTTGTCAAAGATACGAAATTCCAAGTGATAGGTACGGGCATGGCATATAATATGATTCTTGGCAGGCCTTGGATTCATGATATAGATGTTGTTCCATCTACTTTACATCAAGTTATTAAGTTCCCTTCACAATGGGGGATTAGACAATCCGTGAAAATTAGCAGTCTTCTAGAAGTATCAATTCAGTGGCGGATTCGAGCATAGCGAACGATGATGCAGGTAAAAAATAGCAACTACAGAATTCAGTTGAGGACTTAGCAGCACAAACCTCAACTGAAGGTGGACAAACGGACGTAGATTCAAGGCCTGGTGTCACTCAAGAGCCAGAAGAGAATGAAAACATCAAAACAACAATAGAAGAACTCGAGGCTATCACACTTTCCGAGCAGTGGTCAGATAGAAAAGTTTATATTAGAATGAAGCTAAGCCCAGAAATGAAAGGTAAACTTGTCAAATTTTTACAAGCTAACGCAGATTGCTTTGCTTGGTCGCATTCAGATATGACAGGTATACCACCGGAGGTGATGACCCACAAGCTAAATGAAGATCCATCATATTCACCTGTCAAACTGAAGAAAAGGAAGCAAGGATCTTTCAAAAATCAGGTGACTCAGGATGAGGTACAAAAACTTTTAAAAATTGGGTCCATGCGAGAGGTAAAATATCTTAACTGGCTTGCTAATACTGTAGTAGTACCAAAAAAGAATGGGAAATGGCGAGTTTGTGTAGATTATACTGACTTAAATAAAGCTTGTCCTAAAGACTTATTTCCTTAACCACATATAGATCAACTAATTGATTCTACCGCAGGACATGAGTTGTTGAGTTTTTTAGATACCTATTCAGGATACAATCAGATAAAGATGAATACTTTAGATGAGGAAAAAACTTCCTTTATCACAGACAGGGGAACTTACTATTATAAAGTCATGCCTTCGGACTAAAGAATGCTGGAGCCACACACCAAAGATTGGTAACAAAAATGTTTCAAGAACACCTGGAAAAAACTATGGAAGTCTACATCGATGACATGCTAGTCAAGTCGGCACAGGCAGGGGATCATATCCAACATTTGTCAGATACTTTTCAGATTCTCCGCAAGTTCAATATGAAAGTTAAATCCCGAAAAATGTGCCTTTGGCGTGGCTTCAGGTAAGTTTTTAGGTTTCCTTGTTTCTAACCGGGGTATTGAAGCTGCCCAGATTAAAGCCATTGAAGAATTACCAGACATACTCACGAGCAAAAAGGAGGTGCAGAGGCTGACAGGTAGGATAGAAGCTTTGGGAAGATTTATTTCTAAATCTTCGGAGACAAGTTTTAAGTTCTTTTCAATGTTGAAAAAGCAAAACCAATTTGAGTGGACTGATGAATGTCAACAAGCACTCAAAAATCTAAAAAGCATACTTGTCAAACCCACCATTGCTAAACCAAAGGATGGAGAAAGGCTACCCATCTATCTCGCTGTATCAGAAATGGCGGTAAGTGCAGTATTAGTACGTGAAGACAAAGGTAAACAATCTCCAACCTATTATGTTAGCAAATCTTTATTGGATGTTGAAACTCGATATCCTCACTTAGAAAAACTTGCTTTAGCACTAATTATGGCATCTAGAAAGTTTGAGGCCTTAATTTTAATGTCACCCTATCTCTGTAGTGACCGCTTACCCCCTAAGGAATATATTGCATAAGCAAGAACTATATAGCCAAACGGGCTATAGAACTCAGTGAATATGATATCGCGTACCA